AATCGCAATCCGCGGGCGACATTCGTACAACGCACCGTTCGCCATCCTCGAGTAAAATCGTCGCACCCGAATTAAGCAGCAATGGCTCGTGTCTCGAATGGAGTTTCACGTAATTTGTGAAAACTTCCGGCGTTACCGATTGATTGAAGGGGAAAACGTTCACCAACGACGGCCTCGGCGGTGATTCATCCCCCTCGATCATCTGCACGATCACTCTGCTTCCGACTTTCAATCCTAAAGTGATTCTCAAACTCGCTGACACATAAATGCAAGAATGGATCGAATTCAGATCGAAATACTCTCTGTCTAGCGACGCAGAGCACTTGTCTAATATGTCTTCGAGAATGTAAATCCTCACGACAAGTTCTTGTGGAGACTTGAGAGAAGAATCGTCCTTTAGGAAATTTGTATTGGTGACGTTAACGTACTGCCGATTTTCCGGCACTTTTTTGACTTTACCTGCGAATAAATTGATTTTAAGTCCTATTTGTAGAGAAAAAATAATTTTGCTGAAGTTTAGACAAACTAAACCAGAGGTGCAGATATGAAAATATAATCTTGGTTACGAGGAGAGGACACAGTGAACTTGTCACTGACAAGTTCACTGTGTCTTCTAATTTTTTGAAATCAATTTGATCTTGATCTTTTAATGTTTAAATTTAATTAACTTTGGTTACTGTTGATGCAGAAATGTATATTTGTTTATTAAGCCGATGCGATGGAATCAACGACTGTCTGATCTGGTTTTAACTCATAGGTAATGTTTATTTCTCATTCTGATATTTCTCCGATTTTTTTGAGACGAGACGAGATGAGAAAAACAAATAGCATATGATAATCTCGGAAATATTACTTTTAACGATACGAGAAGTTCTGAGACGATATCCCGAGATTCTCGTATCGAAATGCATCACTACTTGTCACAGATTTTAATACTTATTTACAGCGTATATACTTATTATTTTGTTCTTAATAAAAATAAATTTATTTAATAAAAGAATATATAATGTATTATTTGTAACATTCAAAATTTGATCGATCATGGCTTTCTTTATCGTATTTGATGTTCTTTATTCTTATTTGTGTTTTATGCCTTATACTTGATCAAGCTATTGATCAATTCAATTAGATTGAACTATGAAAATAATTATATAAAACTCTCGATCATAATAATAATAACAAAAAATTTGGACATTTCAGCAATCAACTTGAGCATTCAACATAATTATTTTCAGATCTGTAGCCAACCTAATTTTTATATTATATATGTACATAAGCAAATGTACTTCAGCAAAGCTATTTTTTCTATGTACAATAAAAAAATTAGCGCTCGCAAATTGTTAACAAATTAAAATTCTTTTATGTCATAAATTTACACATCATTATTCCGCTCGGTCTTATGTTTTTCGGCGCACAGCTCCTCGGAATCAGAATGTGACAGGGACCTTGCAGGATCATGTCGTGTGCATTCAATTGATCGGAGGACCGGAAGTCCGGCAGAGGATACACACGGAACACACGAGGCACGCTTCTATTGCGAAAGCTCTGCAGTAACGCATAATTTGCGGCGTTGTCCCTCGAATCGCGATGATCCTTTCTTTTGGCGAAGTAAGGCAAGATCTTGGCCAAAGGATTGGCTATCTTCGTGTTAGCCTCCTCTTTCTTAACGACCTCATCCTTTATCGTTGAGCTTGCGATTGCATCAAGCACGTGCACTTCTGTGAACTCCTCGAGCAGCCCATACGCGAATTTCGGCTCTGAATCCTCTGCAAGGATCACGTACAGAATATCTTCTTAATATCCTTTGCATTAAAATATTAAAAATACATTTAGATATATTTTTATATTCTTTCAACTTTGAAGAACTTAATGAAATCATTTGACATTATTAATATATTAATATATATCCTGATATATGTTAACATTTTAATAACGCCAAATGATTTCATCAGTTACTTCGACTACTTCCTTTGCATAAATCAACAACTTTCTAAAATATGATAATATTAAAACGGATATAATAAAAACAGATCAATTCAACATTTACGTAATCGAGAATAATAGCGCTATTTCTATAATGTTATATACTCAAATATATTACGAAGAACAAGCGACTTGCCCGCAATGAAAGTCACGGAGGAAAACTTTGAGATCCACGCCACGAGCGGCTGTCCTTTCGCGACGATTCTCACTTGGCTCAAAAGACTCGATTGTACTCTTTCCATTTGTAATTCCTGTTACCGAATACGGACAATCGATTAATTCATTCATCATTAGCATAACAAGTCGATCTGTAAGAATTATCGTACCAAAAGCTCGCGATCGCTTGTCGTGCGAGGAGCAATCTGAATGCTGCTTAGCGAGGGAACACTTTTCACAGAGGACACGAGTACTTCATCTCCCTCTTGGATGTTCAAACTTCTCGCGAATGTTGCCCCGATACATAATGTTTCATCATTATTAACACGAGCGATGCAAGAAAGATAGTATTTTTTTTCGTTGTGTGATATTTCAATCGCATTTTCCTGTAATCAAGTCGTCGCTGTATAATATTTTCAAAAAACCCAAAGAATTTTGTCTATTATTATTAATTATGAATTATTATTAAATTAATTAATTATTAGTTTTTTTATTATTTTGTAATTTCTTATACAATCAGAACGCTATGCGTTTCGCGGATTCAAACCTATTATTAGAGTGCCAACAATTCCTAAATATTACAATTCATTCCATCAGGGCGGAAAGCAGTCTAATGCCCGTGTTACACTACGCATTGGAGATTGAGGATTGCGAATTAAGGATTAGAATTCGACCAATCAGATAGTTTTAATTTTAATCAATTTCGTTCTAATTGGCTGAATTCTAAAGCTCAATTCGCAATCCTCAGTCTTCAATGCAGTGTGACACGGGCATAAGAATGTTACTTCATTTGTGCGTACGACAAATATATGCAAAACAGAGATCCTCAAATCTCTTTATCTTATAGCCAATCAATAGGCTTGAAAAATTTTAAAGTTAAAAAAAATAGCAGCCTAATACTTCTTGTACATTGATCGTTGTCACTCGTAATTGCAATAATTATAATTCATTATAATCGTTTGTAGAAATCTGGGAAGAAAAAGACGTTTGCATGAATCTTTTATTTTAGTCTTGTTATTATATATTATGTTTAAATTGTTATTTAATAATTAATATTTATTTATTATGCTTTGATGTATCGAATAAGCGTGACTAATATTTATATCAATTTAAATGTTAATTTCATTAATATTTTTATAAATTTCTAAGAGATTAAGTTTTTTTCTAAATTTTTTCTATAATTATTACAATTTAAATGATAAAATAATACTTTATAATTAATTGAACTTATAACTGAGTTAACATTAAAATTGATATACATATAAAACTTGTTATTTTAATAATTTTCTTATTTTCGATTTGTCGAGTCGCTATTATGACCCAGCGAATTAATGCACTGCACTGTACAGATCATCAAAGCCTATGTTTTTCTTGCGTTACACTGAACTACATAAAGTTTCTATTTCGTTTATATATTTTTATTAATATTAAAGTCAAATGTACCAATTATTAGAATTAAATATTATCATAAAATTTACATTTAATTACTTCTTTCTGTATTCTATTATCCAAATTATAATAATTTACATATTTTACATTACTTGCATCGTCATAAAAAAAACTCGTGTAAACTTAATAACATAATGATAAATAATATGTAAAAATTCGATGTAAACGTAATCTTGAAATACATTCTGATAAAAACTGTTTTTAATTTATATTGTAGATTGAGCTTTTATCGACCGTCGAGTTTATCATATCATCATCAGATAATGTTTACTGTATTGAAATTTCTCACTAAAGGCTATTAAGAGCAATCAAATTAGACCAATCAAAACAAAAGTTTGAACTAAAATTTCTTTATCCTCATTGGTCAAATTTCAATCTTTAATACGTAGTCTAATTTCGATATAGGTTTTCCTATCTAAGAATTATATAGTTCGCGGTTCGCGCCACGCCCGCAATGAGCGCTAGTGTAGCGAAGGGCGCGCAGCAGTCACGTGACACTTGTTTTGACGACGGAAAGGTTGGTAGAGACTGGATATTGATGACAGAGATCGCCGATTACGTAAACCGAGAGCTAACCTTAGTTTCCAAACGGCGCAGCCAGATAGCAGATAGATGTGCGAAGCAATTGTTCACCGCAATGTACTTCACGACGAAACGTTCGTGTTGCATTTCGGCGTAAACAGCACAGCCCACACAGCCATGAACGAATGAAACATACAATCTAATGACGTGCTTCTCTGTAAAGGAAATTAAATAAACTTTGCACCGGGTAGCTGCCCTACTCTATACAGCGACTGAGGATGAGAACTTTTTTTTTTCAGACTGAATTTACATTTTTTTCGAATAAATTGATCCAACAAATCGCAGAATAAAACATTTATATAATAATGTTTATTTAAATTAGTTGAATTAAGATTACAAAATATAAGCAAATATTTTGAAAAATAAACTCGGCTTACATAAAAATTTTACACTGAAATTAATATAATAAAACTTCATGTTTTATAGAGAAAACAAATATAGATTCTGTCTAAAAAGAATATATCCACAAGAAAATATCAACAGTAGGTAAAAGAAATCTTAAAAACGGTCCTTTGTATAAAACGAATACGTATTTATCTTTAAATGAGCTATTACATTTCACTGAAATAAAGAGCTCAGTTAAGAGACTTGGCAGTTTGGAAAGAATAAACAACGAATCCTAGCTCTCCGATTTTTCTTTGAACCATTTTTCAAAGCTGACGCGATCCAACTTTGGTGGCAGCGTCGCCGCGAGGTGTCGCCCGAGATGGAGCTGCCGATTGGCCCGGGGCGTTCTATGCAGGCCAATCGTCGCTGCGACGATTGGCCGTAACTGTGAGTTTGAACTGACATCAACTCAGTCAGCAACGAGTTAACCGCAGCCGGTGCAGCCAGCGAACGAATCGCGAGAGACGCGCGAACAAAAACGGCGACGTTGCACAGCTGTACGGCGCGTGGCATGCCAAGTAACCTTGTGAAACAAGCGACCTTTCGTCGTTCACGCACGGATATACGAGGATCCCGAGTCACGTAGGTACGTAGGTACATACGATTCGCACATTCCTGGTACATGCCAAGCGACCCGCATGGAAACGGTAAGGAACACCCTCGGGCACCCATCACGATTCCACCATATTTGCTCGTACACATTTCGGATAAATATTTTGCTCGCGTCCTTCGTGCCTTCACCTGGGCCAGTCTTCGACGTCGCGATTGTTTTTAGCCGTCCCCCGAGACCGTCAAAGGTAACGAAATAACAATCTTGTGACCGAACGAAGGCACGGAGTGGAGCTCATTTCCTCTACTTCCCGCGTTTTCTGCTCCAACATACCGCGTTTCGTGAACTGAAAATCGGTCAAATCGACGGATTTATAACAGAGAGTCACGTAAATTTCTGTATCAGCGGAAGGCGGGATAATCCCACTTCATTTTGACGACAAGTTCGACGAGTTTTTCGGTACGATTCGTACGAGAAACTCGTATCGATCGAGTTCTGTATGTCGTTCATATGCGTTAGCTTTTGATTGTGTTCTGAATCAAAAGCATCTTGAATCTACTTTGGAACAAATGTAGAACGTTCCCATAACCTCATTGCATTTCTCTCACTATATCTAACCCGGGAAATCTTAATTTTTTTTGCATAAACGAATCTATTATCTGTTTTTTTCACCCACTATTAAAACCTACTATTATTTTTTTAATATTGTATGTTATTGAGTGCCCTATAATTTGTCAATATTCGAGATTATTATATTGTAACTTTGCACAATATTTTATTTAAAGTTTAAAAAACAAGTATTCCTCTTGATCAGTAAAAAGAACTCCTGTTTCAGTTTTTTTATAATTGAGATATAAGAATCACCAGTTGGTTATATACCCGGATATTAATAATGATTTTCTAATTATTTTAAAAATCGAATTATACTAGTTTTTGCTAAGAGAAAAATATTTTATATTCTGACTACAATTACGTGGTAAAATAATTATGATTAGGAACTCCATTTTTTATGATTATTAAAAAGTAATGATATAACGTAATAATATGTAGTTTTATCAAACATGAAAAAATACTATAATTTATGATAATTTGAAATATTAATGCAATAAAGTGTCAAGATATAAATAGTAAATAAAGTAAACATTTTTATTCAGTGAATACAATTGTAATGAATATAATTTTTTTTTAAACTCGTTTACTACTGTGGTAGTAATAACTAAAAATATAATTTTTACATTAACAAAAACATATACAGAAAATTTCTTTTAAAGTGTTTATTATTTGAATGGTTATTTAGTATTTATTATGTAAATACATATTAAATTTAAATAAATAATAAAATCTACTTACACTTAATGATCTGTGTTGAAGCATTAAAAGCTATACATCAAATTATTTATCACATTACCTGTCCAACAAATGTTGTATATGTAAATCTTAGACAAAAGTATTGGTACAGTACTGTTGTTCCTATAAAACAGCCTGTAGCTATAAAGAGAATGACAGTCATAATTTTTCTATAAAAATTTTTATTTTATACTTTATATTTAATAATACAAATTATATAAATTGACATAAATAAATGTAATCACAAAAGAAAGATAAAAATGTTTTCTGAGAGCATTTTACCTGTGGGCACAAAAATATTGGCACATTTTATTGTAATAGTGAAGAAAGGTTATAAAAAAAAAATAACACTTAGTTAATAATCCTTTACATTTAGTTATTTTCTTCAATCCATTTGACATTGAATAAAATTGAAGAAACTAAGTTGTTAAATAAATTTTATGGTATTTTATTTCGCTCTTCTAACAGTGCGCTTTTTCATTACATTTTTTTCACAGTATATTTTATTTCATTCTTCTAACACTATTTTATTTAAAATTATGCATTTCTTCAATCAATTTTTGAGTTTATTCCACAAACGTTCAATCGGATTTAAATCTGAAAATTATGGCGGTGTTTTTAAACGGAGTATTATGTATTCACAAACGTATGTTTAAGATCGTCATTGTTGAAATTAATAATCACTTTCTAAATTGAAATTTTTGATACTTTTTTTCTAAAAAACAATTATATTTAATAAGGCTCTTGAAAATCAAACAATAATAAATATTAGCGGGCAATGAGAGCATTTACAGCAATATTTGGAGTGCAATATATAAAATATATTTACTATAATTTTATATTAACTGTATTTGTTGATAACAATTTCCTTGAACGTTTATTTTAAATACATTTATTTTAAACCATCATCAGCAAAATAATGCTCACTAATCCATATTTATTTTTTTTTTCTAATTTTTCTTTAAAATATTTGAATGCACATTCTTATCCGTTACTTTTAATAAATACAACTTCCCTTACACAAATAAAGCTATTTTTGTCGATAAAAAAATTGTGACGTGATGGAGCACGGATTCGATTTTAGAACATTAAAATACGTGTAAGAATATCATCTAATCTCCAGTTTAAACATTAATTTTATATGTTATTATAAGATCTGAAAATTTTTTCGCCACCCACACACACACACAGGACACAATGCCGAAATTGTTCCGCGACTCTGTCTTGTGATCCAGAAGTGTGGGATTTAAAAAATGTTTGCTGAAGAAATGCATCTAAAAGATTCGATTTTATCCTGTAATTTAAGTATAGAATATGTATGAACTTTAACGCACGAAATATTGCATCATCTCATTAGTCAATACCATATTGTAAATTGTACTTTTAATATTAAGTATTGTACTTTTTCATTTTATTACGTATGTTATTACGCGTACTATAGATTTTCAGCACTAATGCAGCCTAAAAATCCTCTTTTGTTTTTAATGTTTAATGATATATCAAACGACTGATGTTAATGAATAACATTTCCTTTTCGATAAATAATAACTTATTCATTAACAAAATGATAACAAAATTATCGTAAACATTTTTTTAGTTGTTGAGTTTACAACAACTTTGTCATTATTTTGTTATTGAATAAAGAAAGTTTACTAACAATTGTTCAATAATAACATCATAAACTCTGTCTGCAATGTAAGTTCTTTTGACATAAGCGAAATTTCATTTTAAAATTTTTTCGAAGAAAGGCGGATTAAATAAAGGTTTTAACATTTGAGTTAGAAATTATTTAGTAATGTAATTACTAGACACACATTGAAAAGTAGCTCCAACTTTTCCACTTTTTTTTTGGAAGCCTAGAATAATAAAAAAAATTGTATTGAAAAACAAAAGACTTAAATTGTAAATGAAAGGAGTAAAAATATGTAAATGAAGAGTTAAAAATGATAGAAAAGGGCTCTTGGACTTCTCATAAGTACACTATGTAGAATTTTATTTAAATTTTCTAAATTGACTTTTTAGTTTAAATTTTTATGTAGCTATTTATGTCATACAAAGTTCCATATATGATCATTTTTTATAAACATTTTAAAAAGTTTTAACGCGGTCATATTCAAATTGCTCCATCACGTCATTATTAGAACGCCACCAAAAAATAAAGCTCTAGAATTAGCGCTGCAGACAGTGTGCAATTATATAAACATAAAACTTTATCATAAAC